TTTATGTTCACGCCATATGCCAGACTATAAACTGTCTCCACGCTGAAGTCACAATATAAGCAACTAAGCTCCTTCAACTGAAGCAGGAATCACTGTAGATACTGAAAAGAACACCAAGCTCATTCAGGAGTCTGACTCCCACAGACAGATCAGAGTATCTTGAGATGTAAACACCCGTGAGATCATTTGTTTGCAAACCATTTTTACTGAAAATAACGTTTAATCATCTGATTTCAGTCAGGGTCTTGAAAATTTGCAGTCTGATAACATTACAAAAAAACACCTCCTGCTGAGCTTGCCAAATAAAAACATAGTAAAAACTGATGCAGTCCTCTTTCTTATCATATAAACAGCCCTCAATTAAGAGTAATATTACAGAGATCTGTAAGCTTTACCTCACTAGTTTGCTAACCCTGCATCAGTAAAGATAAAGTTTGAACTTTTGAAGACTTGTTATACCCTTCAAGCCTAGTCAGGCAAGGCCAGCCAATGCTGAGAGAAAAAGAATGGATTAGACAATTCACTTTCTAATTCATATTCCCCAGCTAAAATAATAAGCTGATACCATATTTCAATTCTGGAGATTTCACTTCTGTTCAGTAATTTATTTATCTTTTCCCCTGTTAAAAGTGATAGAAAAAATTAACTACCTCAGTGTAACAATTTTTTTAAAACTACATAGTACAGATCTCTGATTATAAAATTTAAACCTATTAAAGAATGGATAGTTTCTCAACGGCAAGTAGAACATGTTTAAACTGAATGTGTCCTGATGTTACTGGGACAGAATCACAGGCCAGCCATGGAGGATGGGCCATTAGTAACTCTGAGTCAGCTGTGAGCTTGAGTGAGGGCAGCAGGCTCACGGAGACAAACAGGGGTGTCCCACACCGCTCACCTCACCCCAGTATAAAAGGGAAGTGTATGCTAAGGATGGGCGGTTCTATTTCCTGGGCTTCTTTCCTCTTGGCCTGCTGCTCTCTGACTCTGTTACTCCCAAGGACCAGGCTGTGTAAAAGCTTATATACTTACTGTGGGTGTTTGTATTAGTTTTGTTATTTCATTAAATTCATTAATATTTCAGCCCTCAGGGCTTCTCTCCTTTTCCTGATTCTCCCTCTCGGCTGCGGAGGGGTCACCAGGTGAGAGAGCAAAGTGCTTCAGTGTAGCCCCAGATAAAGGCTAAAGAGACACCTAGCAAGAAGCATGACAAACAGTCTAATAAAAATCCCACAGACAAATCATTATTAAAATTATCTCCACAGATCACAAACATGAAACTACATTGCACATACAAGCATTGGTAAGACATCCTCCCCACAAAGGCAGATACTTCTGTTACCAGCATAATATCACTGTATTTCTCATTAGGCAGCAGTTCAACACAGAAAAACACTAAACTCATTACTACAAAGAGATTAGTTTTGATAAGCAACAGAAGGAAGTTTTGACAAAAAATGGTCAGTATCCCTTCTAGGCAAGGCTTTGGTGCAAGCCATCCAAGCCTTCACATGCATCGCAATTTAATTACTTAGCATGTAAAAACACACTAAACAAAAAAAAATTTAAAATATTACTACTTGATCTCCATAATGCAGCCTTTAAAAGTTTGAAAGTTATGCCAAGAAAACAGACACTGGAGAACATAACAGACGTATATACTCTCTTTACACGTAATTATAATATAATTACTATACACATATATTTATATATGTGTTTTGTATATAATACTACATATTCACAATTTCTGTATCCTTCTCAGATGAAACAGTGAAGGACAGGTAATGCATATGCTTTCAGATGGTGTTAAGAGAAACAAGACTGTTGTACAGCATTGCTTTAAACATAATGGGGAATCCTCCATATGGAACCTGTCAAAAACATTTGAATTGCAAATCAGAAGTGACAGCAAAAGGTAAGTATCTATCAACCAAAACTACCTAAAAGTCTAGGTGATAACACTTTCTGGAGATGGATTCCACTTAACATTCACTTGTCTAGCCACCTACAATATAAGCAATTTTCCCACATAAGACAAGTAGTATGTATAATCAATACTCTTCCCCAATATAATCCAATTTCCACATGCTTTTAACAGAAGGCATATTCACCACTGAATAACAACCTCAATGGCTTTGTAAGCCTCAGTTAAGTGCTTAAGTATGAGTGATAACACGAATAGCAGTACTGTGCAGGCTTTATAGAATTGACAAGGAACTTACCAAGCCTACTAAAATGACCTGACTTCTTTCATTAACTTACTGCCTTCTGAATGAGGGGGAAAGACTACCATTAGTTTAGAATTTTTGTATTGCTAGCTTTTTATCTGCATAATATACGTGCAGGTTATGGTTCAATTTTCATTAGTAAAAAAAAAAAGAAGAAAAGAGTTTCTTATTCCTTCATTTTGACCTCATGGCATAGCCTTGATTTTTCATAATCTGTAATTCTGTATTTTATTACATAAACCGTAAAATTACAATGAACACTTTATTGTCCATGGCAGCTTATTCTGATTGGCTAAGTTCATGTCTGTGCTCATTTGTTCTCCAAGCTTACTTTCCGCAGGTATGCAGCTTTTAATTTATCTACATTATTTCCACAATCATTTTAAGTACAGATTTTATTGCCACTTCGTTCATGTTGCTAAGAAACCAGGCTCATAAATTCTTCCCACCCTACAGACTTAAAACACAAACTGTATGTTTAAGCAGGGCTCCTGATTGTGGCTGGGCTCACCAGCCAAGTACAGAGGTAAACTTAATGCCTCTGCATTCACATCACCCTCTGGAAGGCCTACAGTGTTGAGAAGCATGGGATCTTCCAGCTACTGGGATGGTTCTGCCCTTCTTCAGGAGGTGGGACAGAGTATGTACAGTGATTTCACCTGTACTTAAGACTTAAAAAAGAAAAACACCTTAAAAGACAATTAGATTATTTAAATAATTCTAATTTAAACAAACAAACAAAACAGACAGTTGATGCTAAGTGGGTAGCAGAAGACTACAAAAGTGCACATGTAGTCCAGCAAGAAAGTGCTTGTTTGGTCTTGTCAATGACATTTTGAGAATTAAATACATAGAAGAAAAAACACCTTACATATTTGGATACCTACGGAATGAGAAACACAGATGTTCACCTCCTGCATGTAAGTTTATTTTAAAAAATTTTGGAAGTATGTTCTTACCAACTTGAAAATAAAATTTATACCAGATTCTAATCTACTGCTAAGATATGTCCTTGTACAGTAAAACATAGTATTTTCCACTCACAAAGACACATAAATCACCGTTTGTTTAAATAATAGTGCTTATTACTATTACTGACACTTACTGGATGACCAGAAGTGTGGCAAGCACATACATCATTTGAAAAAATTGAACTCCAGAAAAGAAAACTCATTATTATTTATGTTCTAATGCACATTCTAATACTTCATTGTGAAAATGAGATAGGAGCTGCTGGCATGTGCAACAATTAGCATTGCTTTCAACAGTGAGAACAGAACAACTACTTTATCTGTTGGGACTCAATTTATGGATCTCATTTCACAACAAATAAGGGGCAGAACACTGGCTTTGAAACTTATTTTACCGCAAACTTATTTCTCCTTAAAGCTTGAAGTGATGGAGAGGATTTATATAAACAATAGCCAGAGTAGCTTTGGACTTTCAGTACTGGTGGCAAACACTGTTAGACAAGCAGGGCACTCACTTTATTAAAAGTGCCAGATACTCAGAAGAAAATATTACACACTGAAGCCAGTTGCTTACTTCATAATTTCCTGCTACCAAGTGCTTGACTTCATCATGTTGATGTTCTCCAAGTAATTTGGCAGGAGAAACTTTTATGTAGACTGAAGATGTCCTGGCTCTTGAGACCTGTACACTCAAGACCTCTGTCATTAAACAAGAAGGAATACAGACGAGAAGGATGCTTATAATGATATGACACAACTATCTAGTACAACGCCAACATCCAATGGCTAAGTGTGGCAAAGGGAAAACGCATAAAGGAAGAGACTCTGCAGGGAGAAAAGACAACTGAATGGGAAGTTATGGATGCCCCCTCCCTGGAAGTGTTCAAGGCCAGGTTGGATGGGGCTTTGAGCTACCTGGTCTAGTGAGAGGTGTCCTTGCCCATGCAGGGAGGTTGACTCCAGATGACCTTTAAGGTCCCTTCTAACATAAACCATTCCATGATTCTATGATTAAAAAAAAGATAAGAGGCTGAATTTGATCTTTAACAAACTAGGAGGAAGTGAAAGGAGTATATATTTAACCCACTTCACTACCTCAATCAGAAATCTCTTTCTCTCCTTCTGTTGCCCTCTTTGACCATTGCTAAGAGAACATAAATGCTTTCACTCCATTACCTTCTTTGTTAATTAAAAAAAAAAGAGGAAGATCTTCTCAGTTCTTTCTTCTTTGTATTATTCAGTACTTTTATCAGTGCTCATAGTAACAAGTTTTCTTTACCATTTTTCATCTAGTCAAAAGCTCAACTCTTCCAGTGTTTTCTGTTCTTTCTAACACCTCTACTTAAAAGGATTTTTTTGCCTCTTTTACAAGTCTGAAATTAAACCAAGCAGGAACAGATTTATCTCTAGAAAGTAATGAGTAAAAGAGACTGTGCATTTCTGCCCCAAAGAAATAACGAAGACAGTGAGACATCAAAAACCCTGCTGCAGCTAGGAAAAACCAGGTAGCTGTAGAATAGCCAACCTCTTCTTACTTGACAGCAAATTTGCTATTTGCCAGAAGTAAGTTAGTATCTGCATTGTATCAGAAGTCATCCCATACAACTAACTGTTAAGAAAGCACACAGAAAAATGTTCAGCCACTTTTGTCTGAAGGACATTAGCTACAAAGAAGCATTAATTAGTTATGAAAGAAGGTTTGGAGTTGTTTATTTAAAGCAATCAAATGACGTCTCCATCCCACAATACTATGAAAATATAACCCAGAGAAATTTTGAAGCTGAAATTAACATTAACTTACCAATCGATGCATCACCATCCAATAGATTGTCATCTTCAGAGGTCTGAAAGTCCATAATTACACCTGCTCCATCTAAAAGCTCCTCATCACTGCTTGCACTAGTTATACTGTTGTAACTGTTTCGGTAGTAGCCTCTATGAAACAGCTGCTCAGACTCCATTTAGCTGCTTTATAACCTATATAAAGAAAATGAGTTATTTTCTATTTGGATATGAACAAAAGACTGAAAAGTTTCTAGCAAATAAAACAAGTGCATTTCAGGATTTGGGGAAAAAAATATTAAGGTCACAATAGTACAACTCATAAAAAAATGTAACAGTAATACAGAACACTTTATATGTAGAACATTTTACACAAATCTTTAGTTATTTTTAACTGGATGATAGCTCCTCATTCCCATTCTTGAGCTCTCCTTAGTTCAATGTCATCAACATTAAAGCATTTTACTTTCAGTACTGGTAGATGGACTGTAAAGAATCCCTGCATTATCTCTAGACACATATAATCACAGACTTCTTCAACAGTCAAGCAAAAGCTGTAACACCAAAACCATTTGTTTTGAGGATCCTAATCAAGATTCTTAAGGACTGTATGTTAATTCTTCACATTTCAAGTCAAGTACCCCAATTGCTCCTTATCTGACACTCTTACAAATACTGCCTTATAGCAGCATAAAGCAGTGGTAGGAATGCAGGAAACTAAGACCATGAGAATCTTAACAGTTCAATAAGCTTCATATAGCACTAAAACTTTACTTCTTCTGAGCATGTGACTCACTGATTTGTCCACCACTACCTGCAATTAATGCACAGGAAGACAGCTTAGGTCAACATAGAACAAACTTCCTTCTGTGCCATTAAGAAAAGGGTTTATTTAATAAACTAGGAAACAAAGTTAGGGACAGACTATCTTGAACTGTGTTAAATGTTGAAGACAATTTAAAAGCATATGCTTATGTGACCTTAAAATACTGTTAACAAGAAAGAGATTTGCCTTGCTTGAGTGATGGAAACCAAGTATCACAGAATCATCACAATTGGAAAAGATCTCTAAGATGATTGAATCCAACCGTCCATACAGAGGAAAGAAGAGAAGGGAAAATGGAGGAGGGGAAAAAAAAAAAAAAAAAAGTGAGGAAAGATGGAAGTTACTCAAGAGAAACTGCAAATGAGAAAACACTGTACTGGCTGAATGTCAGCCAAACACAATATCCTGAAAAAAAAAAAAAAAAAAAAAAAAAGCGCCTTCACTGGATCCTACACAGACAGTGCAGTTTAGTACGTCAGGCACTTTTCTACTCTCAAACAGCAGACATCCTGCTGATCATTCACGCTCTACAAATAAAAAGGTCAAGCAGAGAAGTGAGTCAGCTGAGGGAATCGCTTCCAGTGCACAGAAGTGTCTCTGGAGAAGACACAGTAGGACAGTAAGAAGTGTGATTTACAGGACATTTGTTGTCAGGTGATCTCAGTAAACTGTGTATCTCCGCTATGTGCTCTGTTGTCCCATAAAAACACATGAAAACACTGTCTCAAAGGGGTGGCAGGAAACAAAGGCATAATAAATTTGTCATTTCCATGGAAGGGGGTGGGGTGAAAACTTCAGTGTCTTAATCTTAATCTTCATCTTCCAGATTCCGGATAACAAATCTGGTTTAAATAGTTTAAAATAAAGGGGGGAAGCAACAAACCATAAAACAAACAAACAAAAAACCCCCAACAACTGATCTTGATAAAGCAATAATTATCTGATTATCAAAATATTTTGTTCATCACTAAGAGCTAAAAGGCAGTAATCTGTCCCCTACCTCACAAATACCTTCCTGAAAACCCTATCCAAGGACAGTACCTGGTGAGAAAGCTATGCAGATGTAAAAAAAAAATAAAAATATTAAATTACAAGTATTAATACAATATTTACATATAAGAATGGGTTCTACAGTAGAGGAAATGCAATTGTAACAATAGAAAAGTAATTTGCTGAAAGTTTTTTGAAAAAAAATAGGATTTTGAAGGTTTTAACTGATAAGAACCGTCAAAAGTTATTGCTACAATATAGTCAGGAAATCTGCATACATGATCTTACTTTTAAAACTACCCAACTACTATAAACTTTAAGAACAGGTAAATACTATGTCAGAAACATTCTCCACACCCACATTTAAATTAAAATTTAAAAATATATACTATATATGCAGATATATGCCCAAAAGATGGAAGCAGTCAAGAACGGCTTTTAATGCTTCATTCCAAACTCCCATATTATGCTAATTTAATATAGTGCAGTGTAATATTTTTTTTAAAAAATATATTCAATAAGCCTGCCCTTCAGAAAGGAATATAGAACTAAGAAATTATAAGACTTTTACAACAGTTTTAAAACAAAGGCCATGTTATGACCACTCCTGCATCTGTAGTCTCACCAGAGTCAAATTATACTCCCATTTTCATCATAGACCCAGCATTTCTGTCTCCATTTAATTTGCCTGTCACATGAAGATAGTTAAGCAAGATAAGAACATTGCTCATCTTCCATACTTCAGGTTGGGACAAGGGGTGAATGAATTGTGAGAAATTTCTCACTGTAATTTTTAGATCACTAGCAGAACATTTCTTCATAAAAAGGCTCAAAAAAATCTTACCATTCAAATCACATACAGAAGGGAAGATAAGCAAAACAACAGCTTTACTGAACTTTATAAAGTCAGCTTAGATCATAAAAATTCTTAAAATTATTAAATAACCCAAACTGCTAAAAATTAGGAAATGCATATGCTAATCTGACAAAAATACACAGAAGAAAATTCTCTGCAGCATTAAAAAAACTCATGTGAAACTAACTTAACTGATCTCAGGAATAGGACTGCTCCTATTATATTTATTTAGTAAGAAAGGATCTTGGTACATTTTTATGTCATTTTTAGAAAAATAAAGTCACAAAGGAGCACTGACAGTTAACTGAAGCTTTTTGGGTTTTAAAAATATATATTTATCTGAGTTTATTGTTTCGGAATAGAAGAAAATATGTCAGTTTCAAAAAATGTGCATTGGTAAAGTTTAGTCTAGTTCTATTCATAGCTACTTCAAAAATAAAGTCAATGTTCATGGAGGAAAGAGACACAATCAAATATTCTTTAAACAAGAAAGCAAGCAAGGACAAGAACACAAACACAGACACAGACAAAACTACATGGAAAGATAATACTCCTAAAGCAGCAAGACAATCTTAGCTTCAAAACTTTTAAAAAAACCAACAGTATTCCCTATCTACTTTCTAGATTCTACTGAATCTTACCACTCTTAGATATAAAAGCTTAATATAACAGCACAACAGCCTTAAAAGGTTTTTTCACTTTTATGATACATACCTATATAGAATATCACCACTGTATCTGATCTTTAAAAAAGCAGAATCAATAATAAATACTCATTTTCTACACCACTTTTTATCTTCTCAGCTTAAAAGCCAAACAACCAAAAAACCCTCAAACCTTCCAGCCTAATTACAGGATGAATACTGAACTCATGCTTCTAGTCATATGATTCCAAACATTAAGTGCATTGTAGTTTGTGTAAAGTATTCAAAACTACTCATCTCCATTCTTTAAAATGTCATAACCACTGAGTCTATGGGTACCCAACTTGTGACAGCTGAAGACTTACATCACCTGGCACAAAGATATTGGTATACTTGGATGGGATTGCTTCTTTCACCAAGTTACTAGCGTGAATACTTTTTAATTATTTTAAATCAAAACTTGCCGTACCAGCTGGAAATTCAGACTTAAACTTCCTAAATTAACATAATTTATTGATCAATTAGAAAAAACTCTAATATCAGAGTTCAAAAGTAGTCTCCCACACACGCACAGTAAAAAGCAGCTACATGACTAGAAAGGTCTTTAAGGGGTGTGCAGTTAACAATTTAAAAAGAAAAACAGCAAGGAACATAATTCCTTAGCATGTACCCAAACTAAATATAAAAGCAAACATAACTCAAAAGCTTAAACTTCATAAGCAAGTACCAACCCTTAACTAAGTAAGTCATGGTAAACAAATGTGTCCGTGACTGCCACTTCAGAGCAAGACTAAAATACATGGAAAATGTAGTGCTACTTTCTAAATTAATGGGCCAACTATAACTGCAAATATTCAATCCAGGAAAAAAAAATGATGGAGAGTCCTACTAGCAAAAAAATCTCTGGTGTTCCTTCTGTGATCCTACTCAGATGAGAATAATACTGAAATTTGTTAAGACAACTGAAAGGTAAAACACCTATTCCTCTTTTGAAGGGCAGGAACTATGACTGTAGGTTCCACTGTAGACAACATTGCTTTTGTCTGTTGAAGCTTTGGGCACGATGTTCATTTTCTGTTTTATGAAAAGACACAGTGATTTTCTTTTTATATTTTTTGAAGGATTTTGCAACAGAAGTCTATATCGACAAAGAACAGTAATCTGAGGGATACGCAAACAATATACCCATCACCAGAATGACCAGAAGGCGTTATTTATACTACTTAAATCTTTTCAGAGAAGTGCACTGGACAGTCCATAAGTTTGTAAGTTATGTGTCTTTCAGATTATTTCATTGAAGTTCAATGTGTTTGCATGTGAATGATCTGAATGTACTCAAGGAATTAAAAGAAACTTTAATATAAAGTAAATAAGAGATCACCATCGAAAAGAGTGGACCAAGACAAAGAGCAAGAGTGCACTGACTCCAGCAGAAAGATAAGCACATGAAAAATGTACATTTGCCTTCATAGGCAAAATTATAATTCAGGGTTGTCAAATTGGAATGCAAAAAAGCACCATTACCCATAGTTTAACTCGAAGCATCTTCCTGACAAGATCAGCTACCACCAATTTTTAAGGTCTTTATACTGAATTCCAAATTACTCATCAACACAAAAAAAGCCCACGAGGTCAAGAAAAAAATCTGACAATGTTCTCCAAATTACAGCACAGACAAAGGACCAATGCTTGTGAAACCTTGTGGGGACTTCTAGTGGTTCCTGCTTATTCACTGACCCTACTGCTGATTTTAAAAGTGAAGAAAATAGCACCTAATAAGGAACCTATTTGCTGTATTCTGGTTAGAAATAACAAGTCTTTGGTCATCAACAAATGAAAAAGGCCAACAGATAAATTGACAGATGCACTACATAGAGGT